AAAAAAAAAAAAAAAAAAAAAAAAAAAAAACCAACAACAACAACGTTGAATCCACAGTCAGTCAGATGATCATAATATAATCATCCTAAATTTCATGGGGATGGTCAGTTCAATGATGTCTGATATCTCAAGCCTGTTGAACTCTTTTTAAAAAGGAAGGCGAGGAAAAAATTTAGCTTGACGGACTCTCTAAGGGCATACTCGCACTAGGGCCTCTTATGGCAAAATAGCTAAAATTTGATAGTTGGGTCAGTCACACGAAGCAAGGAAAGTGGCAAAAACAGCAAACGGGGTATCAAATGTGAGTAGTCTGGCCGGCTGCGGGGAAGGGCATTTTGCTAGCAATTTTTTCTTTCAGTTCTAGAGTTTATGAAAGGAAATTCGAATCGAACTGAAGGATGTGGGCCTCGCGCTGTGTGACCACACCCATTTTGACAGCTGCTAGAAAGTTCGGCTCGTATCTTTTGTGATTTCCTGCCGCTCCTGAGGCCGGGGGGGGTGGCATTTCAGTGAAATCGGGATAGCAAAATTCGCAGATTTTGCTGCTAAGCCACCACTGTGTGAGTGCGCCCTAACACTCTAAAGTGGAGTCTAGTGTAGCGCTCCCTGACACTTGGGCCTTTTATGGCAAAACCGCTAAAATTTGATGGTTGGGCCGATCACACGAGGCACCGAGAGTAGCAAAAGTAGCAAACGGGGTATCAATTATCAGCTTCCTTGCGGTCCGCGGCGAAGGGCATTTCGCTACCACCTCCGGAGATGGTAGCAAACGTTTTTTTTCAGTTTGAGACTCCTTTGTGAAATGAATTTTGTTGAAGGATTTGTGCCTTGCTCTGTGTGACCACGCGAGGCACCATTTTGGCAATTGGCAGAAAGTCCCGCTGGTGTCTCCGCTGGTGTGTTTTGTGATTCGGTACTAATAACAACAACAATAATAATAATAATAATAATAATAATAATAATAATAATAAAAATAACATTAATTATGATTGCGACAGGGCCGGAGATGGTAGCAAACGTTTTTTTGCAGTTCGAGACTCCTTTGTGAAACAAATTTTGTTGAAGGATTTGTGCCTTGCTCTGTGTGGCCACGCGAGGCACCATTTTGGCGATTGCCAGAAAGTCCCGCTGGTGTCTCCACTTGTGTCTTTTGTGATTCGCTACCACTACGTGACGGGGCGGGATGGCATTTCAGCAAAAATAGGGATAGCCAAAGATACCTATCAGATGTACCAAGCGGACTATCATCGCTGGTTGGCACTAAGTGCGCCGCAGGCGGTCGTGGGGCTTGAACCCACAACCTCCTAAATGCCACTTGGGTGCCTAACCAACTGAGTGGGTTGTCTGTGGTGTGTAGTAGACTGTTAGCCTTAGACACTGCTGTTATCCGGTTGGGGGTGGGGGATGATGAAAATTGAGGCGCAGCTACTGGTAAAATGCTCAGTCTTTGTGTTAGCCGGACCCCCACCGGCGGCGCCTTCCCATCCTTGACAACCATGGCTGGGGTGGGGGATAACATGCATCCCCTCTGATGGCTGTAGAGAGACAACCAAGCTACGTTGGCAGGGGTCCCCAGTATAAGTCTTTTTTTTTTTTTTTTTTTGTTTTGTTGAAAAGAGGGCCCAGTGCCCAAGGCTCCCATTACGAAATTGATTACAACGCTTATACACAGTCCTCTTACCATTAGGGCTGGAAGAGCCTCAGCCACTGCTCCTCCCCAGTACAAGTCTCAGGAGTAGTGGTAGGTAGGATAGTAAAGGTGAATTGGAAGAATTTGAAAGACCATGAAAGATCTGAGAGAAGAAGAATATAGCGTAGTTTCTGAAAAAAATAAAAAATAAAAAAAATATGCATAGCAAAATTCGCAGATTTTGCTGCCATGCCGCCGTTGTGTGAGTGGAGCAGGAAGCCACTGTCCAAATCTGCAAATTGAGAATGGATCTTCTACTACAACATCGAATGATATACGGGGCCGCACTTTGGACAGTCTACAGCAGCCGGGGGCTAGGTCCCACTTGCACGAATTAAGAGATACTGACCGTAGATAGCCGAGATCAACGGCCGAAATCTCCTAATCCGTGCAAGTGGGACCTTGCCCCCGGATTCCACAAAAGGACACCGCCTCTCGAATTTCTCAAATTTTTTTTTTTTTTTCAGCACTGTTTCCCGACCAGCAAGTTGGACCCTTGAGGAAACGGGTGTTGCGCTATACAGGGACGCGGGACCCCATTTTCAGACCAGGTGCAGCTCCCCACCAATAGATGGAGCCTTCGACGCTGGGCCCTACTTGGACCTCGCTCCACTACTTACTCTCGATATGTATGTGCAAAACGAGAGTGAATCTTCTGCTAGAACATGGAAATATACATTGGCATCTTTTTTGTCTTTTGTGCATGTCGAGAGTAGTGCAGCGAGGCCGCTTATCTGGGGCAGCTCCCACATATGAAGTTAACCAACAAAAAAGAAAAAAAGAAAAAAAGAAAAAAAAAAAGGGGAACGGGTGTTGCAGGCGGGCGAATACTAGAGGAGTAGAAAGTGCTGGTGGAACACATTTCGCTGGACACAAATCTGGGAGCCGTTTGTCAAGTGTAAGTGGAGCGAGGCAGAGCTCTGGAATATTTGTGAGAGTGTGTACCGTAGTGGAGGGCGACCCCATCGGCAATGTAGGCGTAGG